GCTCAGTGAGAGAGGGCAGGGGGTGGGGGTAGCAGCAATTACTCTCGGGTAGTTTTTGGGTGTCTTAATGTGGACTCACATAAGAACACTCTAACCAACAATATTCTCCTGACAATAACAGTTTATACATACAAATTGTTTTGCCCATGACTTTGGTGCTCCTATTTTTTGTCAGATTAATTCTCTCTTTTTTCTCCCAGCAGTCTCCCCATAACCAGTTCACCTGCTAGCCCTTCAGAAGATTTCTCAGGCAAAATTACCATCCTCAACTCACCTTCGGCTCAATTTTGGCATCAAAAATCTTAAGAAAAAGAAATTCATTTCTGGATCCTAAAAAATGTTGACAGTCATAAAACAACTTACAGCACTTATCATGACAACATGAAAATGTAGTTCCTAACACACAGTATTTGATGACAGTCAAAACAATTATTTTATAAAATAATTAACTTCAAAGTGACCTCTGATCAATCATATACAAAAGACACAACATTACAGTGCTCTCCGTCCTATCTTTCAAGCATACATGAGTGTATTGAAACTGATAACACACTATGCAACGTGCTCTCTCCCAAAGGAGTTCCTGAGTGGCGGTAGTTAGTGGGTTTCCCTGACATGCTGGAAAAGTGGTAAATCTTAACTCCAACCCCATTTCACTGGAGTTCCTTCCCCCTAAAATACCAAATGCAACCTCATGGGCGAAACTTCATACATGTTACTGTGGAGTGTTTCCATCCTAAGAACACTCAACTGAGACCACTCTAAGAGCAAGTTTTGATTGGAGTTAAGAGAAAGGGCATTGTCTTTTCAGATGGGTGGGAAGACTCTGTTGGGCTGGGATACTTTTTCTAGCCAGAGGAGAACTGACAGTCTGGGAGGCAAGGAAAGAGGCTAAAGGGAGTTAAGTGGATTCAGAACACAATACAGAATTGGAAAAAGTTTCAGTTTTTAGGTGGGAAGGAGTACTCTCAAAATATCAAAATCTGCTGGAACTCCTATGACAGAGTTCATCTATCAGGCTGAAAATCTAAAATCTTAACCAGTTTCCTCCAATGTCTTCATCTGCTTCAACCCAGTGCTTTAATTTGGGCCAGTGCATCATTTTCCAACCTGGTTTCTCTCCCACCAGGAAAAAAAGAGGAAAATGAAGGCAACTCCTGTATATGCTCCTTCCTCTACCAACTCATTTTTTGAAGAACTTTAGGGCTTTGCCATCAAATGAATACACTGATTCTACTGTAGTAGCAAAAATGTTATAAGCCTATCAGTCTGACAGCCAATTCTCATCTTGCCACTAGATGTGATTCCAGCATCATAAAGCTTTCTGGAGACATTCACTTCATCAGGCATGAGCATCGGCAACTCGAAAAAAGAATTCAAGAGCTCATGTCTGCCCTAGAAACTGTTTCTAAGAACTTGGATATGAAGGTAACTGAAAATATTTGGAACGCTTACATTATGCATTACTGCCAAGAAGTAAGATCACTATAACTTGCCAAAACACCTAGTCAAGTGGTAATTGTTCAGAAGAACTCTGTTCTTCCAAACGATTTAAATACAGCTCACACATATACACTATGAGTACTGCCAGGTCAATCAACAAATATTTAATAGCGCCTTCTATGTTCCAGCCCAGCCACCCAGAACAAGCATATGCTGCTCAGTTCTCCTAGTGCCATTATTCCCTTACTCTCTGGGTTCTCCTCAAAGGGTGTATAACTAGAGATTATAAACCAAGGAATGCCCCGTGGAAGCTATTACTGTTGAAGTTTCAGCATAAATGTGAGTTGCTCATGTTACATCCCTGCAATGGGTTACATCTCTTACAAAATAATAGACAAGTCCATGGTCCTGGGTTTTAAAGGCCATCTCCACACTGGCCCCTGCTTATCTCTGCAGCTCACCCTGTGCTTCCTGGCTCACCTTTTATAACCAGTGACACTGAACTACCTGCAGGTAGGTCCTCTCACTCTAAAATACTGCACGGCCTCCATGTGGTTTGTGCTCTTTTCTGCCTGAAATGTGCCTCCCCCTTTTCATCTCCCCAGTTAATGGTTTAACTAAAGGAGCCAATGCAAACCTCTTCTGTGCCCCCTTTGTCATGTACCTTATGTGAGACAAGCACATCTCCTCTGAAGTCATTTGGGCAAAACAAAGTGGAAATCCTTCCGGAATCGGGGGAGATGAATACTTGGTGTTTAACTCTTTGTTCCTGGGAGACAGCTTATCAAGAGGAGAAGGCTCAGAAGGGCACACAGGTCACTGCAGTCCCATCAGGCTCCCCTAGTTGCCCCCCTACAAACCCATCTAATTAGTCCTAATAGTTTTTCGCTTGATTCTCTCAGTTTTTCAAGGTACTCAAAACATATCAACAATAAATTGTAACAACTATAGCTCTGGTTTTCTGATGTAAAATTTCATAATTTTTTCTTAAAAGCCTTGACCGGAAATTCCAGAATACTGTTACATAAAAGTATTCATAGAAGGCAGCTTTTCCAATTTCTGATTACACTAGAAATGACTTTGTTTTTTGCTGTTGGCCATTAGTTGATGTATTTTTAATTATATTGAGGAAGTATCCATCAATTCCTACTTTACTTAGTTTTTATTAGAACTGAACATATAATTTTATAAAATGCCTTTTAGATATTAACAAATGTCACCATATTAGTTGCTTTTTGGTTTGGTTTTTTGTTTGTTAGCTTGTTTAATTCTTTGGCCTTCTAATGTACTGTATCAGTGCATTTCCCAATACTGACATATTCTGGCATTTCTTAACGAAAGCACTACAGTCTTTGTGTAATACTTCAGCATTTTATTTTGCATCTAAGTTCAAAGGTGATATTAGACTATAGTTTCTCTCTTCTTAAGTTTTTTTTAAGGTAATTCATACATATGGTTCAAAATCAAAACTCTACAAGAAAATATACCCTGGGAATTTTCACTCCCACTTCTGTCATCAATTATCACATCTTTTCATTACAAGTAACCATTTTTATTAGTTTGTTGTGACTCCTTTCAGTATGCCTTTACAAAGACACAAGCAAATACAAACACATGGTCTCATTTCCTCCTTTTTTGCACAAAAGATAACATACTATATGTATATTACTAGGCATCTGTTTTTGGTTTTTTTTTTTAACAAAATAAATATATTCAAGAGATTCATTATATCAGTGCCTGGAGAGCTCCCTCATTCTTTTTCACAACTGTATACTCTTCCTCTGTGTATAAAAGCTCATTTAACCAATCTCTCATAGATGGACGTTTGGGTTCTTTTCAACATTTTGCTCTTTTGAACAATATTGCAATGTATAACTTTGTACTTGTCTCATTTTGTGTGTCTGTAGTTATGTCTGTAGGATACCCAGAAGTGGGATTGCTGGGTTGAAGGCTCCCGTGTTTGTTACTTGGAAAGATCTTGCTCTCTATAGGGCTTTTACCAAATTGCACACCCACCAGCAATATGTAAACTGTCCTATATCCCCACTGACTCACCAGTGAGCGTTGTTTGACCTTTAAATTTTGCCTTAAAAAAAAAGATAGCATCTCTGTGTTTCAATAAGCCTTTTTTGTTATGAGGTTAAACATCTTTTCATATACTTTAGAGCTATTTTTATTTCCTTTTTAGTGAGCTGTCGGTTCATGTCTTTTTTCCATTGCTCTACTGGGTTATTTTTCTTTCTTTTCAATTTCTAGGAGCTCCTTCTCTGTTAGGGAGATGAGCCCTTTCTCTGTGATATGAGCTGCAGACATGTTTTCCCGGTTTGTCATTTGCCTTTTGACTTTTGATGTGCATATGTTCTCTATTTGTAGCTGAATTTATCAGTCTTTTGTGGCTTCTGGAATTTTAAGTGACAGATAGAGCTTCCCCACACAAAGGCTTGAAAGAATTGCCCACATATTCTTCTAGCACTTTCATGGCTTTATTGTTTGTATTTAAATTCTTGATCCATTTGGAGTTTTTCTTAGAAAAGAATGTTTCTTACTCATTATTTTACTTATTGAGGACTTGTAGTATTTTTAATATTTGGTAGGGCTAATCCCTTCCACTGCTTTTTTTTTCCCTTTTCCTGGTGGTAACTGTTTGTTTGTTTTTGCATATGATTTTATCCCCATTTTTTTTTTGCAGGGGGAGGTAATGTGTTTTTGCATATGATTTTAAAATCA